GATACATGAGGTACATCTGACTCAGCTCATTGGGGTCACTATAATGTCAACACTAGGGTACAAATAATACTCTCAGCCCCACACCAAGTAATTTATAACCAAGTGAAGGGCTTTCTTTGACCTTAAATAATAGCCCCAAGTCAATGTACTCACTGTGTCTTGGCAGAGCCAAGGTCATGCAGTGGAAAGTATGTCCTAATAATTGCTGCCATTTCTTTTCAAATATTGTATAAAAGCAAAACCTTACTCTGTTTAGCAATAAGTTTAATTCTCTCCCATCTCATTCATCATCATCATCATCATCATCTATGCAATCAGTTAAGTAACAGTTAAGTAACCAGCATGTGGTTCTATATGCTAATTGTTATTTGTTGAAGAAGCAGGAGGTTAAAATTCAGATCTCTTGTTCATTTCAAAACAGTTGTCAAGTTCTTCTTTGGACTGGAAAAGAAAACTTTGGAGAAATTGACATCTCAGTCACTGGTTAGGAAATAAATATGGAAGTGCAAAATGGCATTTTTAAACAAAACTGCTTTCCTGACCATAACTGAATTTTCACATTGTCAGCACTTCCATTATAAACATTTTTTTAAGCTGGGAGTTTATAACGCAAATGTAAAGATTTGCTATGGGCTAAATCTCAACCCAAGAGCAAATGTTTATACCAATTTTGAAAACAATCAGCTTGCCCATTTGTAGTTATGCATGTGTTCATCATCTGTTATTGCTTGTCCAATGCTCTCCAAATTCTGGGAGAAAAAGCAGACATCTGGAGAGAAGAAACCATGTTTGCTCTCAGGCAGATGTAGTCTGTTTTCCACAATCATTGAATAAGGAAGGTATCAAATAAATGTGTGCCCTTTAATATAAGGAAATAAAAATGACAAGTTTCTGCAAACATGCCAGCACTGGTAAAAGACCAACTGGGCAGTCTATGAACTGGCCACTTGGGTGACTGTAACTTGGTTTGACCCATTTTACAGATGAAAGGATACTAACACAAATGACAGCAGTGAAATACCCTCTCCAGTAAAAAGTGCATTATACTTCAAACTTGGCCAGAATTAGTGAAGAATAATCATTTAGGCAAAACTTTTTTTTTTGCTGCAAATAACATTTTCCAAAAGATTATGAATGTTGGCTTAACTGTCAGTTTCATGTTGTTGGAGTGTTTTCCTATTTTTTTTTAATCATCCTGTAACCTAAATTGTGAGTTAACACCTTGAAAAATATTTTGATCAGAAATATTTGTATCTGGCACAGCCTTAAAAAATGTTATCTGTCTATGGATCCTGATGTGCTAGGAGAGTGAATCTGGATCTGCACAGATTTTTTTTTTTTTCAAAATAATACAATATTGTTTCAGTAGGTCCTTTTTAACACCTACATGGAGTGGCACAATGAATGCTTTACCAAGAACAGAGTAAGTTGTTAAGTGATTTAAATACTCCTACTTTAGTTCTTAATTAGCTCTATTACATAAAACAATTCATTGTTCCTCTTAGATCTCATGTTTTATCACTTAAAATGAGATTATTAATTCAGGTGTGTGGCACATGCCTGTAATCCCAGCTAGTCAGGAGGCTAGGGCAGGAGGATCTTGTTGGAGGCCAGTTTCAGCAATTTAGCAAGACCCGGTTTAAAAATTTAAAAGTTTAGAGGTATAGCACAGTGGTAGAGCACCACTGGGTTTAATCCTCAGTACTTAAAAAAACAAGATTATTGAACCAAGTAATTTGTTACCATTGCTTCTGGCTCTAAAGTTTTCTGGTTTTATAATCTTATCTCTCATAGTAACTTCCTCAGATGTTTTCATCAGATTGGTCAATCAAGTTACTGTTTTTGCCTGATTTTTCCATAGTCTTAGATACTCTATTCATTAAGGGAATCAAGGTGAGGGAAACAACTTTACTTTGTTTTGAAAAAAATAAAATGTCCTTATATGTGACAAATTCTGATCACACTACAATTCAGTTGGCATTGGTAGGGTTTTCATAGTACTGGGATGGAATTAAATTCTTGGATTGCCTTTTATTATTTATATGATGATATGATGGAAGTTAACATACTTCTCTATTAGGTAAGTTTTGAAATATAATTAGTTATTATTGTACTACCCAAACCCTAAAAATAAAATATTATCTTGAAAAATAACACTTATGTGTGATTGCTTAGCACTTATCTCATAGTGCATTTTCACCAAAAATCAACACATTCCCAGGTGTGGCCCATTTCATTATACACCAGAGATTAAATTCCTATAGTATCCTGGAGGATTCCTGCAGAAAAATTCTGTGACTTGATGCACTAAGTACATTTTTCATACAGAAAACCATCCATTTCTTATGTCTTGTCATCAAAAGGAAAAGTCAGACACAATGGATTCACTGCAGTATAGGCTCCCTGGTCTCACCCTTAGTGAAGACCAGGGAGCATTTAAATTTGGATGCTGTTGTGTATTTTTAATAAAAGCTATAGCAGTAAAAAAACAAAACTGTTCAGGATTTGAGTGATTCATATGTTTTTTTTTTCTAACCATATTAAGGTGTAATTTGGAGCTCAACTTTAATATACAATGTGATCCATTTGACACAATTTGACATATGTACACACCCACATCATGAAATCATCACCAAAATCAAAATAATAGTACCCCATGCCCTTTCATAATTCCCTCCCTCCACCGTCCCACACTTGCTCCATAGCAAATCATTTTCTTCTGTCTCTATAGAGTTATTTGGCTTTTTTAGAGTACTAAATAAGTAAAATTTATACAGGGGATACTTCTTTTTATCTGGTTTGCCCCATTTAGAGCAATTTCATCAATGTTGTTGTGTCAAAAATTCACATCTTTTCATTGCTTAGTAGAATTCTGCTGTATGTTTATACAAAAATTTTCTTATGAATTTATCTGTTCATGGACATTGGAATTATCCAGTTATTGCTTGTGACAAATAAGACTTGGAGGTAAAAAAATAAAACTTTCTCAGTAACTTGCCCTGAATACTGGGTTAGCACTGCTTTTCCCCCAATCCTTTCCTTCTATTAAAAGCACTTTTCTAATTTTTGTTTATATTAGTAATTAGTTGCTTAATGCCTGTTTTGCTACTTCCAGTGCTACCAGTACAGTGTACAGTACCTGGCATATAGTAGGTGATAAAAGTATTCTTTGAATATGGTAGAAATGACTTAACATAGTCATTTACCAGATTTTAAAAGTTTTTTTTTCTATGATTTACTTTGAAATTTAACTTTTGTCCTGAGGGCAATCAAAATCTACTGAGGATTTTAAACAAATAAATGACATAATTAGATGTGCAGTATAACATGTGTAATTTATATGAAAGAAGGTGGACAAAGGAAATGGGGATAAGGAGCCAGTTAACAAGCTTTTGGTTATTGGAGGAATATTCAGGCAGTAAAAAGAATAGAATTGGTTGACCACTTACAGTTAACAGTAGAGAATGAAGGAAGTTAGACATGGGGAAGGAGAGAAAAAAAGGTAACAGAACATTTTCTCAGAATTATAGCCCAGACAATTTGTGGGATTATGATGCCATTGAGTAAATTTTAAAATAATGGAGTAGGAAAACCCTTTACATTTCAAAAGGCCAGTGCCAAGTTTGTTCCCTATATAAATCAGCATTTTGATTCTTTTTCCCTACAATCAGTCTCAATGAGGTTGCTACAACTTAGTTCAAAAGAAGTTGAGAAAAGCTTAAAGTCCTGACATGTTCTTAATAATGTTTCATCATCAGGTAAAACACTTATGCAGCCTCATAGAAGAGGATTTCCCAATAAATAGAACAGCACTTTAAGGAATAACTCTTGATTTGAATCTTTTTTGTTAGAAATCATGCTAAAATGAATCATATACTTTCCTCAACACATTTTTCTTCTTCTTCTTCTTCTTTTTTTTTTTTTTTTTTTTCAACCACGGTGATCTGGGAATAGGAATTATTAGCATAGTTTGAGTCTCAGAGAGGTTAATTGATGTTTCTCATGTCACAGTTTTAAACTGCAAGCCTCAGATGCAGTTGTTTTTACTCTAAATCTGGCTTCTTCCACCTTACTATGTTAAATCCATCTATTTCATGATATTATACAGTGATGTGCTCATGAATGCATAAGAATTAAAGACAAAAGCACAAACAAAAATTAAAATATGAGTCCTGAAAGACTCATGGTTAAATTAATAGCCTGTCTCCCCAGGGCAGCATTCAATAATTAGGAAATAAAATATGGTCTTATGGAAAGAGGATGAGCCTTGAAGTAAGCAAACAGGTTCAAATTTAGGCCACACAACATACTCTGGATATTGTATGGCCAACAACAAAATCTCAGCACCTCAATGTTCTCATATTCCAAGTGGGTATGATACCCAGCTGATAACATTAATATCAGATGGGTAATTTCTAGCATAAAGCCTGGTACCTGGAACATTGATTTCCCTTACTTTCCTATAGTAAAGAGCTGATGTAAGGAATAAAGGTATTAGTGTTTATACATCACCACATTTTTATGATAGATAACTGAGGTGGAGGTATGTAAGATTCTATAAGCCTTTCAAAAAAGCACAGATTTTACTATCCAGTTTGTAAGAATTGAGTACATAGACCAAAAAAACATGAATCAGTGTCTTCCTGCTTCTGTAAGTCAGCAGTTTGACCCTTTCCCTGAAGCCATTCTCACTGAGTTTTCCCCAGCTCGACAGTGATGCAGAGAGAAAAGTCTGTGAAGGAAAGCAAGGCCTCTCAGCATTCAGTATGGCTATTTTCTGGATTTATTTCAACAACTAGAGAATACCTAAGATCAAAAGACCATTAGCTTCTATGCAGTATGTGGTTTTTCACTCACGACAGATCTCTTTTGAGTGTGCTCTAATTTTGAACTGATTAAGTGCTCCTTGATTTCTAGATGTCAGTTGTTTATAAGTTATAATAGTTTTCTTAGTTATTGCGTAGAATCCACAATGATGCTTACCTTGCATACAAGATGATGCCTTTGTCTGCAGAAGTCTTCTTTGACCACACTGCCCACAGGTCTGGAGTAAAAAGACACCACAAATGGCTGAAAGTGTCAACATAAATAACTATCAATAAATATTATGGGATGTAGCAAAGCATTTGGCTTGTGCCTTCCTAACCTATGAGAGCTAACTGTATGGCTATTATCGTCACAAGGGATGCTCCCAGTTTAGCTACATACAGTATTTATAAAGTGCCCATCACCGTGGTATCTAAACACTTGGGCAATCTAATTAGGCCAGCCCAATTACTTGTGTGGAAGTAGAAGAGATGCCCTTCCTTATATCCCACTCCACTGGAACCAATTTGATTGTGTTTTTAAAAGCAAGAAAAGCCTTCTGTGAGAATAGCTTTCTAGGCCTCTTGTTCCAAGATTAAAAGACTGTCTGGGTAAAGAAATGAGTGTTTTCCTATTCCTGAAGGTGATAATGTTCAGAATCAAGCAACTCTCCAGTGATAGAAAATACCACAGCCCAGAGATCTTCATTGAGAACATTTTACTCCCTTTTCTTTTGAACTTCACTCTGGGGGCAGGTAACTGAAAAGTACTTTCTAAAAGCAGTTCACCTGAATGTGAATTATTTCCAAAGACTTCTTTGGTGAGGAAGCTGTGTTTTCTTCTGGCCTGCTGAATTAGAGAGTCCTTCTCTTCTTCAGGAGACTTAACTAGGCCAGACCTTAATTTAAATTTGATAGTAAAGACCTCCCTTCAGACATTTATTTTGGAAAGACAGGAGAACTTAGCACCTATTTTCTGTCTTTTCTGCGTTAGTAGGTTTGTAACAAGGCCCCAGTACAAGGTGGCATCTGCCTGAATTCAGAGTCCAATTCCCTGTGTCCCCCAAATATACTCGTGTGTGTATGTGTATGTGTGTGCACGTGTGGTATTGGGGAAGAAGAAAAGGGCATGTTATCCGTGAGTGACACCACTAATACATATTTTAGAATTTATAGTTAATCAGAAATTTTAAAAAGTTGTTCTGGTGCAAAGTAAATGCCAAAGTTACATGTTTCTGTGACAAACTATGAATATAATGCTTATATAAAAAAAAGTCGTAAGGGGGCTAGGGTTATAACTCAGTGGTAGAGTGCTTGCCTGGCATGTGAGAGGTACTGGGTTTGATCCTCAGTACCATGGAAAAATAAAATAAAAAATATTTTTTAAAAAATGTTGTATGGCATCAACATTACCTCAGACTAAAGAACATTTATTTTTTGTACTGGCAAGACTTCTTCCTCCAAGTTATCACTAATTTGGGTTGATTTGAATCTAATTTATCTGATATTTTATTTTATTATGTTTTTCATAACTAAGTAACAACTCAATATAGCCTGTAATGTTTCAAAGTGTAATTTAAAATTTCATAGAACTAACAATTACCTTGAAAATGGGTGGAATACTTTGCTCTTTGGTTATGCCCTCTAAATGACACATCTCATATCACTCAGTTTCCTTTTAAAACAGTATTATTTTCTCTTTGTCATCCCTTAACATCATAGTCTCTCTACACCTGTCATTTGATTCATTCCTATTATTGTGTCTTTGGACATTATTAATGAATTTTTAAGTTTAAATTCTTTCTGTTCCTTGACCCTCCTAGTCCTGGTCTTTCAATTTGGTGCTTCTCTTTTATATTAATTCCTTATTCTAACTAAGACTTTTCTTCTCTCTTTCAATTTTTTTTTCTTTTTTAAAATCCCTATGCTGCCACATTAGTTTCTTTAGCTAACTACTCCTTTTCTTTCTTATTAGAATCATTTGCAATTGTATCAAGATTTCATAATTTTAGAGCATTCTATTCCTCTTGAGCCATCTCGCATACAGAAATTCTCACCAAGGGATCTTATACAATTTTTTCTCTGGCCATTAAAACGATGGTTGCAATTATTGAACATCTACTTCATGACAGGAATTTAATGTGCATTATCTCATTTACTCTCTACAATTATCTTACAAGGTAGGTTCATTATCTTCATTGTACCAATACAAAGACTAAAGTTCAGAGAAGACACATATAGAGAGCAATGGACAGAAGATAGCAGAATAGTATATTTGCCTCAAAAGCCTGTCCTTTTAGCCTTTACATCCATATATGGTATCCTACAATCAAACTTTCTTAATAATTTCTCCTGCAAGTCTTTAAACTATTCCCTCATCAGTATCAAATACTGTGTCTGTTGGATTCTGTTTAGTTACTATTGATAGAAAATCAGTTTAAAATTTTAAGAAATATGGAAATATTTTGGTTCATATAACTAGGAGTCCAGAAAGGGTAGATTGCAGAGTTAGACATCTGTTTAGCCATATACAGATACCACAGGCCTAGGCTCATTCTATCTCTGCTCTGTCATCCCCAGGTTGGGTCCATCCTGGTGCTGATTGCCTACATTGTATAGGGGGACCACCAGCAGCAACACAAATTACCCCTTCCCTTGGCTCATTTCATGACACAGAGTATGTTTCCCAGAAATCTCAAGTAGATACCTCCTCTCATCTAATTATTTAAATCATATGACGTGCCCATTTCTTACGGAGTCAGGAAAAGTATATTATCTTAGATTAATCCTGGATCTGGGATCAGTATTTCAACTCATACTAACGATGAGTCTTATAATAGACCCTGAGCAATATCTCTTTAGAAAAAGGAGGAGAAGAATAGATGTAGGGTCAGCAATATTCACTACCCAACTCATTGACTGTCCAAGATTCACATAGATCCTTCTTCTTGAAAAATTTACTTTCAAAGTCCTCATAATTACTTGAAACCATTCATGGGTTCTCCAAAGCCTCATACTGCTACTATAACTGATTCTAGAAATCTCATGTTTGTGCTCCTTTTTCTTTACCAGTTGTGATGTTATTTCTCTAGTTAAAAGACAGCTATCAGCTACCAAAGCAGTTACTATTCAGGAATAGGGGCTGAAGGGCTAATAACATTAAAATTTCTATTTGGTGAGGATCTAATATATGATATGAGTGGTGATGGATTTGCTAGCTAATTTTATTATAGTAATCTTTACATGATACATATGTATATCAAATAATCATGTTGTACATCTTGACTTTATGAATCTTTATTGGTGAAACATTAAAAAAATACCAATCAATGTGGACAAAAGAACAATGGCAAACATGTGGTAGCCCCTGGTCCATAGGATGTGATGTTTTACTGAGAAGGAAGCACTCATGCTCCATTCTCTGGCTGTGGAGTGATTTCTTGGGTTAGCCAGTCTAGAAGCTCCTGGATTTCCTTTCCAAAAGGCACTTGAGAACCTTTGTCTTCCATGGTCACAAGCAAGGAAGGCTTGCTGAAGTACATCTGTTCCCAGCATTCCACCACTTACAAGGGCCAAGGGGAACACTAAGGAGTTATATCACTGTACTAGCCAGAAACGGGTTCATATAGTAATACAAGCCTTTTTAAAAGTTTAGAATACTTCTGATTCATTTGTTTCTAGTCAATGTATCAGCTTCTAATAATTCTGGAGATTTTTGTGGCCACATACTGGAAATTTCCATTTCTTAGCTACTGATTTCTGTGTTCTGCCCATATCTCCATCACTCACTTTAAGGAGTGCTGTTTTCATCTTGAGATTTCCTTAAATTGAGACATATGTGGGTATTCTTATGGGCAGACTCTAGAAGTAGCCAATGCAGGCCAACATTATGAATTTTGAACTTTTCCTACCAGTCTTAAAATGTGATAGTGCAGGTAGGCACACAGTTTTTGTTTTGAAATAGTGTGCAACATATCAGAGTCTATTCAAATGTTTTGCTTCTATGTGACAAGAATGATTACAAATCTCAAAGCCTGGAATGATGGGGTTCTCAATGATGGGGTTCTGTGCTAACTCCTCTACTCAAATGTCCCAGTCTAGAAAACCTTTACTCTCTTCGTAAAATTAATATCAGTGTGCTTCTCCTTCCTCCTTCATCTTTATTATTATAATTCTTCAAATCTTGAATGTCTTTATGCATCTGTAATTTCATAGTTTCCATCAGAGGCAAGGGGACACCAGTTGCATTTATTGCATTTAGTTTTCCTGATATTACTTTTAACCAGATTTCAAAGTTCTTCATTTCTGGGCAGAATTTGGGAACCTGAAGAGCTCTTACACCCTGAGATATTGAAGTAGGACTGGCTGATAGTTTAAGATGGCTAGAGATTCAAATATATAAAAAAAAAGAGAGAGAAAGGTTTATTTTAAAAAATTGTAAGATTTAGAATCAACTCTGAAATGACCAGCTCAGAATTATTATGAAAAGATATCAAAAAGTTATTTATTAGAAATACACCTGTGTACATATTAACTGTACATGGAATCATCTTTATTTGAATACAAACATGATAAATTGAAAAATAAAGACTGTATTGTCACAGAAAGAAAAAGATTAGACCCTCCATACATTTTTCCTTGACAAAGTTCTCCTAGCCCCAACCTTATACCCAGAAGCATAAAAGAGAGTATGTGCACTGACCAGCAAATGTAACAGGATCACATTCTGTTAGTTTCTATTGCTTTTCTAACAAATTACCACACACTTAGTGACTTTATATCTCATAGTTCCATAGCTTAGTCCAACAGAGGTCTCACTAGATGAAAATCAAACTGTTGGTAAGGCTGTACTCCTTTTGGAAAGCTCTAGAGAAGAATCCATGTTCTTTCCTTTTCAGCTTCTAGAATCCTTTCCTGTTCTCTAGCTCATGGACCGCTTCTTCCATTTTAAACCCAACAGTTCACTTCTCCTTGACATTCCTCCTTATTTGTATCTCCCACTGACCAAGACAGGGAAATCTCTGCTTTTGACAACCCCTGTGATTAGATTGGATCCTGCTAGATAATTCAGGGTGATTTCCTTATCTCAAAGTCCTTAACTTAATCATGTTTGAAAAGTACTTTTGCCATGAAGATAGCATATTCATAGGTTCCAGAGATTGGAACATGGCATCATTGGGGCCTATTTTCCTGAACATCTTAATTTGAATATTTTTAAATGACAATATTTGAAACTCAGTATCCTTTTTTTGCACAAATTAATGA